AATCAGGCAAAATTTCAGACCCAATATTGTCTTACTCTCGTAAGCCACACCTCCCGTAAGCAACCACCTGAACTTGACATTTAGGGTGGTCCCTTACGAGAGCTAGGTTCGACAACTGTATACACTGCAGTGACGCGCCATTTAACTGTCCGATAAGAAATTATTTTTATCAAAACTCATTACAAGAAAAATAGAAAAGGCCGACGTTCCTTTCCAAAGAAAATTTTCATTTTTATAGCTTAGTCAACGCATTTTATTGCTTTTCAAATAACTGAGAAAATCCTTTCATTGTGATTGGCTGAAAGCAGGCCAATTTATCGTTAGTTCTTAATTTGCACTACAGTGTACAAATTAACGCGCGCGCTTTTTTGTATGAAGGCTTGAGCAATTAAGGATTTGCATTACTTGTGATATTTGATCCTAATTTTCCGGCGTTCATTTTAAACTTAATTTGTCCTGGTGGGCCCGTGCATTTTCCTGCAGTTTTTGCAGCAGGTGTTTTAATAGCGTGGTTTTCAAATGCGTGTTGTAAAACCAAAACCAAACCAATTACTTTCCCATCTTTTTTTTTTCGCTGGCCGATTTTCGCGCTGCGCTTTTCTGAGTTGTTCTTTCCTGGCGTAACGTTTGAGCTCATAGGTCGATTAAAGAGTTTTTTATTGTAGATATATTGTGAAGACTGAGAACAATTATTAAGGAAAACGTACTATTGGCTAATATGCACAAATGATATCTTGAAAACTTAGAAAACCCAAGTTGTACATTCTGGAGAATGTTCTTCACTTGCTCTCGGGAAAGTTTGGTCCAGTTTACCCCCGCACAGAACAAAATGAAGACACGTTTTTCCCTTATTCGGAAGAGAATTCTTTGCCAAGGATTTCGATGTTATCATTACCAGTAGTGAATTGAAAGAGCCATTCTGAGTAAAGCTTGTCGGCTTACCTAGATAGGAAATAGGAATTTACTTACCATAGTGGTCAGCAGCCGTGGAGCAGTGAAGCCAGCCTCCCCAAAGAAAAAATACAAACAGAAGAGGAAGCGAAGGGAGAGGAGAACCCATCGTTACTTAATTAAAGTCTGTCAGGAAAGTCAAGAGTACAGCTTTTTTTTATAATTTGAGTAGCGTGAACTTTGTTACAAGGCTCGCCAAGAGTGTGAGTTGCCGACCACCTGGAACCGATGATTTATCGCTGTGTTATAACTTACTTATAACACAACAACACATTTCAATAATTACGTGCACATTCATGTGTCTTTTAAGAACTCGTTAAATTCGTAATGATGACAACCTACTGCTAACACCTGCGTCGACTAAAAGAGCAAAGATCAGATATGTGAAGGACAAATTAAAGAAAAGTGGTCATTTTAGAGATTATGTATTAGTTGGAACAATATTTACGAAATGGACCTGCATACCCCCCGTGTAAACGTGTAAATATCTTAACAACACTCACGAATATTTTAAAAGAACAAACATGCTGTGAAAGAGCACACCACTAAAGATGCTATTTATTTTCGGATTATTTGCTGTATAAACACTAAAAATAAAAGCTTCTTGTCCGTTGACCTTTCTTTGTTGTGTTATTTGCTCAAGAAAGCTGCAGCTTACATTTTTAAAATTCCTTTCTACTAAAAGAGAATGTGCCATAAAAAATTCAAGGAAAGCGCTCGTGGTGCGTGAGGTTTTAATTTTTTAAAAATTCAATTCTCTTGCAGCACCATCATTTGGTTTATTAATTTATACATGCTTTATTACCTAGCAAAGAAGACGCAAGTTGAAAGCTTGGATCTACTTGCGAGACCGTTTGGCCTGGGCTTTTTTGTGTATTGTGGAGTTACGATACAAGCAGAAAGTTTGGAGAGCACTCAAGAAGCGAATGAGTA